CTCACTCTGTCACTCAGACTGGAGTGCAGTGGCCGCTCCTGGCCACTGCAGCCTCGACCTACTGTGCTCTGGCGATCCTTCCGCCTCAGCCTTCCAAGTAGCTGGAACTACAGGCACGCGCTACCACACCCCGCTAATTTTTGATTTATTGTAGAGACGAGGTTTCGTCAAGTTGCCCAGGCGGGTCTCGAACCTGCAGGCTCAGGCAATCTACTCACCTCGGCCTTCCAAAGTGCTGAGATTGCAGGCTGAGCCACCGAACCCAGCAGAAAATTTAGTTTAAAGCTTTGTATTTTATTTCCACTTCTGTTGGAAACCACAACTTAGTTCCAATTTGCTAAATAGTAAAAACAAACATTTCCCTATTGATAATTAGGTTTTAAAGCTATCAGAATCCTTTTTATATTCTTCAGATATGTTGTATGTTCTGACTACACTTGCCATAAACTATGAAACTTGACCAAAACAAAAAACACAAAACACAAAACAACTACTTTTAGATCTTGGACAACAGAAAGCATAAAGGAAAAGACGGCATAGTAGGTGAGGTCACATCTTTCCTTTCTCCTGCCAGTACACTTTCTAAAAATACACAGGAAAGTGGGGCCCACAGATTAGGTGGTAGAGACAATAGAGCTCAGAGCCCAGGCCTGAGGAGACAACAGGAAATCAAGTGGCTTTATCTTCTTAGCAGATCTCAGATCTAAGATCCACTAAGACCAACTCTTTTGGTGTCCTCACTTCAGGGGTTGAGGCCCTTACCATCAGGTGCAGACAAGTGCTACCAGCTACTGAATCCCACCTTCCTCTGGAAACTGAGCCCCACTTCTCACTCCAGAGGCTGAAGCTTCATTTGTGGCAGTCATGTAAGGGCTGATCCTGTCGGGACAATCTCAGGGACTGGCTGGCAGGACATATCTGGGATGATCAGGTTCTCATTGCACATACTAGACTTCACAGTAGGCACTGTGGCTGAATTCAACCCTTGGGACAGAGTCACTAGCCTCCAGACCTCCATGGTAGCATTATCTGGTCCTAGTTGTCCTAGTTCTTGGTCCAGGGGTTGATAGGATAGATATAAGATGACCCCAAGTGCCTTCAAGGAGTTTTCGGTGACCTTGAAGATGGAATCTTTGGGTACCTGGCCCACATAAAACATGTAGACAATAAAACACAAAGCAGTTTTTAGAATGAGACTAAATGTGGAAATGAAGTAATGGGTGTGAAATGAAGTAGTTTTAGCTTGTCCAGCATATATTGGTGAGAAAAACAAAATGAAAATCTGTATACAGAGTACAACTTTATTTTTTACAACTTGTATAGGAATGTATTTGAACACATTTTTAAAAGACTCTTTAGAGGAATTACATTTGGCAGAGTTTATTGACCAAAGGACAGGAAATTCATCAACTGGGCCTCACAATGAACCAGCAGAGGTTCGGAGAGCTCTCCCTGCCCCCCACAGTGTGAACAGCAAGCTTTTATAGGCCCCACATAGAGGCAAAGTAAAGAAACCACCTGACCGGCTACAGCCAGGATTCTTCCTTAATTAAACATGGTGTGATGAGGTATTTGCCTTATGTGGGTATTGTGTGGTGAATTGACTGCCTGTGGTTGGTTGAAACTGCACTGCTTGTACCCTTGTTAGGTTTTAGTTTGTTTATGTATTAAGTTAGGTTGCAGTTCGTTTTGTAGGAACCTAAAGTAGAGAGACAGCCTTGGTCTAATTGCTCCTGCTTATTGAACGATATAGACACACTCAGAGAAATGCATCCTGGCACACACCCAATTCTAAAACAATACTATACTGCAAATATTGTTTTTACTCACAAGGTTGAATTACCTGACTTTTGGCATTCTATTTTATTTTTTATTTGTTTATTTTTATTTATTTATTTATTTATTTTTTTGAGTTGGAGTCTCACTCTGTCACCCAGACTGAAGTGCAATGGCCGCTCCCGGCCACCGCAGCCTCGACCTGCTGGGCTCCGGCGATCCTCCCGCCTCAGCCTTCCAAGTAGCTGGAACTACAGGAGCGCGCTACCATGCCTGGCTAATTTTTAAAAAAATTTATTGTAGTGATGAGGTCTTGCCAAGTTGCCCAGGCGGGTCTCGAACCCGCGGGCTCAGGCAATCCACTCACCTCAGCCTCCCAAAGCACGAGATTACAGGCTGAGCCACCAAGCCCGACTGGCATTCTATTTTATAACTCTATATAGTGTAGTTCTCTTTTAATAAATAATAAAAATTACTATTTGTGGTATTAGAAAAATAAATATGTAGTAACTTTTCTTGCAGATTTATACAAAATTCCTGTAAATTTCAAGAAATGCAAGCATCTGATTCCATTGGAATTGCACCAGAAGGATGGAAATTTCTTGAATGTTTATCAAAAATCACCTGGAAGTTGTTAAAATATAAATTCTTGGGCGTACCTGATTTAATAAGCCTAGGTTCACGACTGAGACTGTGCATTTCCAATAAGTTCTCAGCTGTCATTGATAGTGAATGCTCAGGGATCAAAACTAAAAGGACCAGGGTTATAGGAAAGGTGAGGTTGCCTGGTTCCAGGCCCCAGGTTATCATGGTGGAGATTTGCAGGCTCCAAGGGGCAAAGACAAGGTTTTCCACCCATGTGTCCTGAGTGTCTCTGCAATGAGCAAAGCAGATGAAAATTTTCTAGGCCCTCCAATGCTGCAGTGCTCTGTCTAGTCTCCACCCACCCATGCCACCTTCTGACTTGCTTCTTCTGCCTGGAACTTATTCCAAAAATACCCACATGTCTCATCTCTCACCTCCTTCAAACATATATTCACTGGCCTTCTTTTTTGAGTTGAAGTCTAACTCTGTGGCCCAGGCTGGAGTGCAGTGGCACACTCACTGCCACCCCAGTGTTGACCTGCTGGGCTCCGGCAATCTGTCTGCCTCAGCCTTCCAAGTAGCTGGAACTACAGGCACGCGCTACCACACCTGGCTAATTTTGATTTATTGCAGAGACTAGGTCTCACCAAGTTGCCCGGGCTGGTCTCGAACCTGTGGGCTCAGACCTGCGAGCTCAGGCAATCCACTCGTCTTGGCTTCCCAAAGTGCTGGGATTACAGGCTGAGCCACCGAGCCTGGCTGTCACTGACCTTCTTATTAAGAAGCCTTAGCTCCCCTCTTTGTTTCATACCCTAGCAGGACTTCTGTCATTGTTCATTTTTTGAGATGGATGTTAGACCCCTAAAAGGAACTGTTATATCAGATGCCAAGTAGGAGATATGATATGGATAAGCATGCTGCTCAATGAATTGGACATAGTAATTGGCTATGCAAGGCAGATGAAATGTTTTCTGTGAAAACCACAGACAGAATTCTACCTTTGTACTACCGCTTCAGGGCGACCCAAAATTTCTTCTCCATCTTCTGGACAGAGGCACTAGCATGCCAATATCTGGAGTGGTTTTTCTCTTATCCCTGACAAAAATACACAGAAGGACAAATGAAATTCAATGCTTCAGAGTGCAATTGAATTGCAATACAATAATATTGATTGACTTTCCTATCAGTGAACGTCTTTTGTGTTTGAATGACTCTATGGAATGATATGAGTATTTGCATTGGCAGCCTTTGGGAGCATCTGATATGACAATTTTAGCTTCTGGGAGCATGCTGAACTTTATGAAGTTTAAAATAATATATTCCATATCTGAATATGCTGTCTGATTACTACCTTCTTAAGAAAGAGGAAACCGGGCCCGGTGGCTCAGCCTGTCATCCCAGCACTTTGGGAGGCTGAGGTGAGTGGATTGCCTGAGCCCGCAGGTTCGAGACCCGCCTGGGCAACCTGGCAAGACCTCATCTCTACAATAAGTCAA